CAGTAGGACTCATGCCAGTAGACTTTCCCTGCTTTCAGAAGCTATGTTTCCTTGCCAAGAATTTAATTCTTACAGGTCACCAAAAAGTAGATGGTATGTGTTGGCAATGTTAATATCAGAATGTAACTTTTGAGATTAGGAATTATCAATAGAGTATCACATATTGCATGCTTTTGTAGTTAAATTTTAAAATAATTTAGTGAGCATTGAATAAATGTTATTGATCATCACCATCTTCACCAAGTTGATGTAGCACCCCCCCTAATTCTATTACAAGGCATAATAGTCTCATTTGGTGTCCAGAGTTAGAGAGTTAGGTGGAGCAGAAAAAAATATCAGGATGTTTGAGAAATGTTTACAGACTCATAACATATTGGCATATTAATGCCTTGAAATATCATTCAGCATCTCTCAAAGTTATCATTTTCCCACAGAAGCTCTTTTGCCATGTGACAATTTTTAATATTCATTGAATTTAATTTCCATGTAGTACACATTATAAGATGCTAATTTAACAATCAAGTATGTAGTCCTGTGTGCAGGAAGCTCACCTCTGCATCACTGTAGTGTTCATAAAAAGACAATAACAGTCTAGGTGTTTGACCTTTTCATCTCTGCTCTAAGCCACAGATCAGAAAACTGTTTTCTGTAAAGTCACAGATAGTAAATATTTTTGACTCTATGGGCTATATAATCTCTGTCACAATTATTCTGTTCTGCCCTTGCAGCCACTGACAATATGGAAACATAATGACCATGACTGTATTCCCATAAAACTATTTATGGCTAATGAAAATTGGATTCCATATACTTTTCACATGTCGAGATTTTTTTTTCTTCCTTTTGATGTTTTTCAACCATTCTTTACTCATGGACAACACAAAAACAGGCAGTGGGTTGGTCCATGGACCACAATTTGCCAACCTCTGCTCTACAATAAAATGGGTAACCTAGATGATATCCATACTTTTTTCCACACTAGCTAGATTGGAATTCTGTATTACTGTTTTCTTACTTTTCTTTCATGCTTTTGCAAAAATTTTGAAGAAGACAAACTTTATAACTCTACTCCTCCCTCAATGCTCATTAAGTTCCTACTGCATCGATTAAACTTTTCCTTTACTGTTTTTTTGTAAGGAAGTTTTTCTATATGACCCCTTCAGAATAGGTATGTCAGGGTCACACCAGCAGCATGTCTCCTCTGACATTTTGAAATAAATTTTGTTTTGCCACATACATTCAAAGAACAGATGTTTTGTGGTCTCTGAATTTTTAAAAATATTTTTTAGAGCACAAATCTAGTTTATGTTACTTTATGATACCACTCCTGAGCCAAGCTACCACATAATTGTATATTCATTGAGCAATCAACCAACACTTTATAGAAAAACAGTTTATAATCATACGAGAATGGATGGATATTGTATTTGTAGTTTTACAGTCAGTACTCAACTGTCTGCATATTTAATAAATGGCAAAGTGTAATTGACGAGTGGTAGTAGTAGGGATGTTGTTACATTTGGGGTAGTACGGTTTATTCTCAGATGTACATCAAATGAAAGTGGGTAGTTGGTTTGTCTTTATTCATTTGATAAATGCTTATTGAGTTCCTGTGTCATAGGTCCCAGCATTGAAGCACATCTGGGTTGTCGTTCTCATTTGTACATCATGACATCACCTCTGGGTCCAGCTTCGGCTGAGTGTGCCTCTGAAACATCTCATACATCAGACCTCTCCTCCCCTGCATGCTTGCCTCTGTTAGCCTCTCATTACTGCTTGATTCAACAGTTGTTTTTTCTTCCTGTAGTCAGCTGGTGTCTTCCACCTTGTACACAGTTGTCACAGTTGTCAGAGTGATACTTTTATGAAGTATAACATATCATTAATGTGTTGCTAATTTCCCATGTCTAACTGTTTAAAGATTTGCATAGCCTGCAGGATGTGTGAACTTCTCAGGGTATACATTGTCTCCCATGAAGACCCCTGCCTCCCTCATCTCTTTCATCTTGTACTAGTTTGCTAGAGCTTCCATAACAAAACATTACCAACTGGGTAGCTTAAACAACAGAGATTTGTTTCCTCACAGTTCCAGAGGCTGGAAGTGCAAGACCATGGTGCCAGAAGGGCTGGTTTCTCCTAAAGCCTTTCTCCTTGTTTTGCAAATACGACATTCTCTGTTTGTCCTCACTGGGTCTTTCCTCTATGCACACACATCCCTAGCATCTCTCTGTGTGTCCCAGTCTCCTCTTCTCTTAAGGTAGCGGTAAAGTTGAATTACTGCTCAATATAACAGTCTCATTTTACTTTAATTACCTCTTTAAAGACCCAAATTTGAAATACAGTAACATTTTGAGGTATGGGTTTAAGACTTCAATAAGTAAGTTTTGGGGAGGCACAGTTCAACCCAGAATGCATCCTTTCCTTTTTTTCCTTCTCCCTGACAAGTATCATCCACACCTGATGTTTTTCTGATTACACCAAAGCCTTCCATACCTCATGCTTGCTCTGCCTTCTTTCTTTGCATGAGATGCAATTGTCTGATTCTAGACCATTTTTCTGCCTAATGAACACTGATATTTCAAGACGTAATTTAGAAATCACCCTTGGCTGGGTGCAGTGGCTCACACCTGTAATCCCGGCACCTTGGGAGGCTGAGGCTGGCGGCTCATGAGATCATGAGTTTGAGAACAGCCTGGCCAATATTGTGAAACCCCATCTCTACTACAAATACAAAAATTAGCCAGGCATAGTGGTGTGCACCTGTAGTCCCAGCTACTCAGTAGGCTAAGGCAGAAGAATTGCTTGAACCTGGGAGGTGGAGGTTGCAGTGAACCAAGATCATGCCACTGCACTCCAGCCTGGGTGACAGAATGATATTCCATCTAAAAAAAGAAAAAGGAAGAAAGATATCACCCTTTCTGTATTGTCTTTCTTGATCTCTTAGTGTCTGTGGAGATGTTCCATGGTTGTACCTCTTGACAAGTGTTGTACTCATGTGGGTGCATCTGTCCTTTGTCCTAAATTGAAAACCAGAGCCTATGTGTCATTACTGTTCAATGAAGGTTTGTTGAATGAATGACTTACAGAACCTTTTCTGACCCTCTTGAATTTTGATCGGTTGGATGAATTGTTAGATAATGAGGTGACAGAAATGTTGCAGTTCCTGGGTCACCAAAGCAATTTTGCAAAGATACCTATACTGAGCAGGATAAGCCTAAGATGTGCAAAGTGCAACCATGGACACTGTGAAAGGTAAAATGATAGGTTGTGCATAGAAGTAGACACAAACTGAGTCAGGAAACTTCTACTTTAAGCTAAACTATTATTTTCTTAGATTTAATTACAAGAAAATGATTAGAGTAAAAGTTTTGCGTCTAAAAATCACTTTAAAAATATCCTAGAGTTTCTTTTTTCCTCTCAAACAAAAAGAGCTAGGTTTTTCCTACAGGAGTTTTATCCTAATGATTTACTAAGGGAGACATTAGATAATTACTTTTACTTTATATTAGATTTTTAAATGACACCTCAGGACTTAGAAATACAGCTTTCTTTGAGGGGAGAATGTTTTGAAACACAAAGCTGTACCCATTTTCTAGTGCAATATATAGCAACTTCTAGAATCTCACATACAACATGGGAGTTGAAAGAATTTTATAAAATTCTCATTTATTTAGCAATATTAGAAAACTACATAACACACTACCATACACCCTTTCTTTCATAGATGTTAGACAAAAAAATAATAGATTTTGATCTATTCTGACAATAGTTCCTTTCCTTAGACACTTTGCTCCATGAATTGTTCTGTGGACCCCTATTTTTTGAAATGTAAATAAAACCTATCTGTATAAACCATAAATTATAGTTCATTATAAACTATAGCTTATAGCAAATACTAAACAAGAATGACGAACTACTGCAATTTGGAGGAGATAAATCCCCTGCCTGTTGGTAGGACTACATCAAGGTAGATAGTTATGTTTCTTTGGAAGAGTCCCAAATCATGTCATTAAAAATGGCAGTAATATACATATAGCTGTTGGCTTTGTCCCTTGGTTAGGCTTTTCATTCATTAGTAAATTCATCAATTTATTTCCTCCATCATTCAATTCATGTTTCCTATGAGCTTGTTGTGTGCAGGATACTTTGCTACATTAACTATGTAGTATCTTATTATATGCAGTTATTTGCCCCATTTATTTTCATGATAAGATTTTAAAAGAAAACTCTTAATACATCTGATGAGGGCCTTTCCACTTGAAAAAAACATGCCAAACATTTAACCTGACTGAAAATGTATCACCAAAGTCCTTGGCTTCTGGCATAAAGCAGGGACTATGTATAAACACATCATCAAAACAGATAAAACAAGAGCAGAGAGCCCAGAAGCGTAAAGTTGTCCTTTAGATACAGTCATGGTGACAACCCAAGCAGTGCCAGAGGATAAAGCAAGCTGCACCAGACTTCAAGTCAACAGACATTTATTGAACTCAATTTCTGCATGGAGCACTGTGATAGTTGCTTTTGGGGATACAAAGATGAGTGAGAATCATTTCCATCCTCAAGGAAGTTACAAGGGGAGACAGAGATACACAGAACTGCCATACAAGGCAGGATGCATTAAGTGCATGAAGAGAGATATAACTAAAGTGCTTAGGGATATGCAGGAGAAAGTGGTTAATTTTTACCATAAATATCAGGGAAGGCTTCATGCAAAAGATGGCCTTTGAATTTTTCCTGTAGGTTTAGATCACATTCTGAGAGGCAGAGATATGGGAAAGAGTGAAATAAACAGCACTTAAGAACAGTGCTGAAGAAGGCAATTTCAGTGTGCAGTGTTTAGAACTTGGGTCAGAAAAGCAGGTCCACTAGAATTGGGCACTGGTTGCTATACACTGAATGTTTGCACTCCACCAAATCTGTATGTTGAAAACCCTAATCTCTAGTGTGATGGTATTTGGAGGTGGGTCTGTGGGAGGTAACTGGGCTTGGATGAGGTGATGGGGATGGAACTCATGATGGAATTGGAGTCTTTACAAGGGAATGAAGAGACAAGAGCTCTCTTTAGGCCATGTGAGGACACAGCAAGGCCCCAATCTGCAAGCCAGGAAGAGTCCTCACAAGAACCAGACCATGCTGGCACTCTATTCATGGACATTTCAAACTCCAGAACTGTGAGCTAGTAGTAGGTGTTGTTCAAGCCACCTAGTCTTTATTATTTTTTATAGCAGCCTAAGCAGACTGAGACACATGAAGCAGTCAATGTGGGGCTGTTCCTTTACTATCTGGTCCTGGAGCCTTAAGTCCACAGGGCAGACATTTGGGAGAAAAGAGGGTATAAAATAGAGAGGGGTAAGAACAATCTGGAACTCTTGAGGCTGAGCCGGTTCCCATAAGGACCAACTGGGACCAACTAACCTCTCTTACAAAGATGTCAGCCTCCATCTTTGATGATGGAATCAATTTTCTGGAGAAGCTGGAACCTTTCCTCATGGAGCTAAATCTGCTGCTACCATGTGAAATAAGCTGAAGGAGTGGGGTGGGAAGGAGCTGAGGAGCTGCACTAGGCTGCTACCCCAGCCAACCAGCTGAACTGGCACTTGAACAACCATATGTCTGAAGCACAGCCTGGCACAATTGTGGACCTTTATAGTGTGCAGAGTATGGCTGCTATTCACTTTCACCTTTCAAATCTTGTGCAAATTTTCTTATATTCCACCCCCAACCCAGAACTCTGCAGATAAAGGAATTCTGGGAAATGTGGTTCCAGTTCCTCTAAATTGACCTATTGCAAATCCACAACACAGCATCAGAATATTACCTAGGATTATATTCTACCTGTTCCAGTGCTATCGAATGTTTTATCTTCTCAGAAACCATGTAGTCTCCATAGAGACATCATGGTGAGTGCAGCACAGTGAGTGCAGCACCCACCAGAGCTAACCCGTGTGGTTGAAACCATTTAGGGAACAATTTATTCACTTGCTAAAGATCAATTAACTTGTTCATTTTTCAGTTGTTTAGGCCCTTGCTGGAAATTAACCCAAGGCAGAGAATAAGATTAGAGTAAAAGAGAGAGTTATATCAAGTTGATTCTCTTCTCTCTTATTTTTTTTTTTTTTGACCATTGAAAAGTTAATAGAGAGACCATTTTTCATTTTTGCTGCACAGCTTACAAATTCTAGATACACCAGAATTCGTACATACAGATGTAAACAGTATGGTCCTAGGAAGCTAAAAATACTAACTGAAACAAGCAGGACAGGGAATGAGTCGAATGATTAACTTTTTTATGGTGATACATGTCTTACAACCCTTTGTTTCCTCTTCCTAGAAATGCGTATTTATCTTTGGAAGAAACTCTGAAGTAAAGGTGACAAGATTCTTTATTTAAAACATTAAAAACAAAACGAAACAAAATATCAAGCAAGAAGTTTTCTGGCAACAAACTAAGCGCGGCATTATTTTTTAAGGAACACAAATTAAATGTTCAACGTGTGACAAATTTGCACTTTCTCCCTGAATTATGTCATTATCAAAGAAAAAGATTGGAAGGGGCTGATAAAATATCATCAAAACTGAAACTAGAATTAAACAAAACTAAAATAAAATGAAATAAAATAGTATCCATTCTTAATTCATCCGCAACTGGGCCACTAGTTTTTTGCATCTTGGTAGCCAATATTTTTGTCTCTAGGGCATAAATTATGCATCAGGTACCTCTGAAACTCAGAGACCAAGGAAAAAGGAGGTAATTTGGAAGGTGAAATAAATATGAGCATTCTGAAGAAAGGATTGAATCTGTACTTCAGGGTCAAAGATGAAATTCGAAAGGAGTTGACAATACATAGGAAAAAGTGCTGAATTTAAAGATGGTTTTATTACCATTGCTATTTGAAGCAAGAATTAAATTCAGTAACTCTAGAGCAATTATCATAATTCTGTACTGTTGTTTTTCTATTTTAGAATTCAGTATGCTATTTCCAAGAGCTTGGCCAAGGGAAAAAAAGAGCTTGACTCTAAATCTAAATCTTGGAGACTGGATACACTACTCATGTGATAGGCTAAAATAACTACTATTACCTTATGTTTGACCAGCACTTTATGAAGTGATTTCACATAAAAGATCTTTTTTGATATAACTGTTGTATGGTATATCTTCCATTTTATGAACAGGGTGAGTTGTTTGATGTGTAAGATGAGCTGAAATAGGAAAAGTGACAGGAAATTTACAGACCTTTGGAATAATATTCCACAATGGGGTATTCTTTATAATTATCCAGGCTGAATAGCACCATCCAAAGTTCTTAAATCATCAACAATGCCATTTTTACTGTAGAGGATAAGACTTATGATCCTTTGACTCTTTAAATTTTCTTCTTGACAAAAGTGATCTACCTTTCTAGCCAACCTGTCTTAATGATCCATAACGTTGCTACCCTGGTGCCAGATGGATATGATAGAAGGCTCCTAAAAGGCTCTTGGTTTGAGGAAAGTGTTGCTTACACACCACAGGAATCTTGTGAGATTTAAGAAGTGGGGAAATATTAGTTTGAGTCATTAATAACTTAATTCAACTAAATTTACTTTTATAATGTTAGCATTGCTATTTTTGTTTATGTAAATTATGACTAACATTTTTAAAGATACTGAACATCAATATTGATTCCTTTATAGCATAGCTTACACTTAAATATTGTACCATGTCAATAGGTGCAATCTGTCCCAATCTATTTCTATTGAGGACCCAAAATAGGTACTAAGATGTACAGCTGTACCAAATAACTATCCCTCTTCTTGATCTAATCAACCATAAAATCTAGTCATTTCTTATTATTCCAATGATTACTTCTTGCCTATAGCTGGTACTCAGTCAAAACAGTCTGCTACCAGATTAGCTAGATTATTTAAACCAAATTCCTCTGAACTGCCTACTGGATTTCTCATCTTTGATGCCCCATGGGTTCATCAAAATTAGGATGTACAGAATGAAAGTCATTACCTTCTCTCTCAAAGATGTCCTTTCTTTCTAACATGATTCCATCTATGTATGAATGGCATCATGATCCCCTGAATCTTCTAAACTATTCACTTTGGAGTAATCTTTAGCTCCATACCTTATTTGTTAATCACCCTGTCCTGTTAAATCACAAATATGTTTCCAACCCAACTTCTCCAGTTTATTCCTACTGATCATGCTATTCCAAATTCCCTATTTATTGCCTGGATTTTCTCAGCATTTTCGTAACTAGTTTCTTTGTCAATAATCTCTCATTATTCTGGCCTCCAGGCTGCCAATCACCTTGCTTTAATTTTAGTGGGATAATTTCAAGGGGATGGATGTTGGTGAAAACAATTACCTGCTTCCCTATTTAAGCCAGAATGCCTTACAAACTGCTTAGCAGAGGAAAGCAGCTCTTCACAAATTTGCCCCATACGGATCCTGCCCATAAGGCAGGTTCAATAAAGTAGACCGGTGACTGTCAGAGTGATGTGCAGACAGGGGGAAAGGGAATTGAGGCATTGTCAAAGCTGGGAAGGCTGATGATACTTGTTAATAATGTGAGGCAATGTATCTAAACCGAGGTTGAAATCTAGGAGAACCTGGATTTGCTTAATGGGGCATATTAGCTAGGCAGTGAACCTGGTGTGCAGAGAATGAAGAAAGAGGTGATTGCAAGTGGGGTTGCATGTAACAAGATTCTTGTGTGGCATTCATGTGCCATCTTTCCAGTTACTCTGACACGTGCATCCTTTGATTTAGCTGTGTAATTTATTTTCATTATTCTTCTTCAATTTTTAAATTGACAAATAAAAATATGTAATTATTGTACACAAAATGATGTTTTTACATGTGTATGCATTGTGGAATGGTTAAATGAAGCTAATTAATATTTGCATTGCCTTACATATGTATCTCTGGTGTGTGTGTGTGTGTGTGTGTGTGTGTGTGTGTGTACACACTTAAAATCTACTCTCAGCAATTTTCAAGTATACAATACATTGTTATTAACTCTAGTTACCATATTGTCCAATAGAACTTTTGAACTTTTTTTTCTGTCTAAATAAAACTTTGTGTCCTTTGACCAACATCTTCCCAACTTCCTAACTCTTCTACCTCTGGTAACCACTATCCTACTTTCTGCTTTTATGAGTCTGATTCCTCTAGGTACCTCATATTTGTGAAGTCATGCATTATTTCACTAATTTCTGTGAAATTCTAGTTTATATAGGGAATTTCTGTGACCAGCTTATTTCACTTAGCATGATATCCTCAAAGTTTATCCATGTTGTAGCAAATAATAGATTTCCTTCACATTTTTTAGGCTGAATAGTATTCCATGTGTACCATATTTTCTTCATTTATTCATCAATGAACACCTAGGTTGCTTCCATATTTTTAGCCATACAATTTCTTAATGTTACTTGAGCACACCTAAGATTGCATTTCTGTCATTTGGCATTTTCAAATTAAGACATTTTGAGAATATTCAGGTCATAAATGTTGAATACTATTATACATTTCCTACTGATTGTTAACTTGATCAATGTAAAATTGCCCTCTTTACTAAATTTCATATTTGTCTTGACAAAACAATTATTAATTGGTTGACTTATTCACTCACTCAACAAGTATTTCTTGAATTGTGATTGCATTCCAAATGCCGTTAGGAGCGTATAAACAAAATTCACTGTACCCATTTTGTAGAGCTTACAGGGAATGTAGTCATTACTACAAGTAATACTGATATCAATATTTGTACTCTGGGTTTTTCATTGAGGGAGGAATTGCATTCTAGAGCCTTGTGTATGATATTTTCTTGTGATACCTTATTTTTGCAATATTTTGTACAAGAAATAATAGGTTATTATTTTCAATTGTTTCTGAGTCTTTGCCTTGTAAAGGGGAAATTTAGACCCTTTACTTTTGTTTTTCTGTTATTCCTTTGTCATCCTGATTTACACTTTTTAAAATGTGTAATTACTCTTGCTCTTATTTTTATTTTTTGCAAGTGGAAAGGTAACCACCCTCTTTTTCATTCTACCAGTTGCTATTTCAATCTTCTTCAAGAGAAAGCTAAAACTTTATGTAACTATCAAGGAGGGAAACAAAATTATGGCTTTTAATGCTCACTTTGGGAAGGTCAAGAATTTAGAGCTTTTATTTTTCTATTTCTCCTTGATTTAGGTCTTGATCAATATAACTGGAGCCTCTGGGGTATGTGTATATAAAATATAGTTTAAATGTACTGGTTTAAAAGACTAAAAGTGTGTTTAGTCTAGGTCCAGGCCCTCAGAGTTCATTAGCAGTAAAACTGGACCAGAGACTGTTTCTGATACCAGATTCAGTCTTCTTTCATTGCTTCCAGCTGCCTTTCATCTTAGTCATAAGTTTGTCATTAAATAACAAATGTGTTAGAGATTTCACTTGAAAACTAGTTCAACTCAATGTGGAGCAACTCATGTAAAACTCTGACATTTCTTCAATGAATAAACTACCCTGATAAATTTGCCATCTTCAACATTAGTCAACAAAGATGTTTTTGACTTATTGAAAGGACACATTTTCCAGAAGAAGCCCACGATGATCACTCATCCTAAGCAATCCACACTATTTAAGCAATCTGTTTATCTATTTAAACAAACACATGCAAGTTGCCATCTCAGTGACAACTTTTCTCCATGAAACACTATTTTTCCTTGGCCTTGATTTGTTGCATTGGGTACATTTAGTTTTCTGCACTACAATTCATTTCCCTTCTATGGAGTAAAAATACAGTGCATTAACATTAAACCTTAAAAAATTCATGAAAAGGCATTTTATCCTACATTAGCAGCATTTTTAGATAGCCATAAAGCTCTTACTCTTGCCCTACAAGGTAAATAAACAAATCCTTCAGATGGCTGAGGCATAGCTCTGCTCCTGAAGTAAGTGGATGCATATTATGATCTGGTTCTCATTTTCCGAATACAGAGAAGGCATGTTATGTGATAGAGTCCCTTCCTCAAAGAAATCAGAAAAATCTTAAAAATTCATTTATTATATGAAAAATCCTCTTGAAAATTCTAGCTCTTTTAAAACATTCTTTATCATTGGCTCCCAGCCAATGATCACTGTAGTAATTTAAAGAGATATGTGTGTTCAAGATGATTTTTCTGTTTCTGTAGGGATGCCTGGATTATTAAGTATTCTACATCATGAGAGTAATTACTGGTGTTCCTCAGTAGAAGGCAACCCAATGAATAGAATTTTGTGAAACAACTTGTTTGGTATATAATGGATTCAATTACACTTATTAAATTGTTCAGAAATACACCTGTGACACTGTAAATTAACAACGATGAAGTGAGCCAGCTCTAGGTTGGGGAACTCCCATAACAAAGCACAGGCCAGCTGTCAGGAAGGGAGCCCTGGCTGTGGATGAATCAGTACAACATCGGGGAATCCATGTCCAAGGAGCAGAACTCAGAAGGGAGAGTGGAGTCCGTAAAGAGCTACCAGCAGAGAAATGAAAGCTGGAAGGCCTGCTTCTAGAAAGAAAAGCTTTAATGAGCTAAAAGAAAGTAAATCCCATGAGCCCTAGGAGTTTTGTAAATAAAGAGACCAGCCTTCCCTTGGGTGTTAGGCTGGAAGTG